CGGGGTTTGTAGGGTTTAGAGCTTCGGGCTGGGGGTTTCTAACGCAGAATGGCAGGTGTTGGGCTCAGTGGGGTCGGAGGGCTCAGGCGGCTTGGAGCTCTTCTTGTCTTGATTGCTACCTTTTTGGGTTAATCTGCTGTATGATTGGGAGCAAAAAACGCAGAAAACGAGTCAACCAACAACAAGAGCTACGATGGAGACTATAGGTAGGGTGGTTTCAGCATTCGTGAGAATCATAGTTGACGAGTACGCATACCCAGACGCGAACTTGTTTGCAGTTATGAGCTGCATGTCTTGCGGCATTACAGGTGCTATGCCCCATAAACCCCTAAGTAGTTCCTTTTGTGGTTTATACTTAAAATCCTACAGGGTAATCCCCAAAAGGAACTACTTAGGGGGCTGTGGGTAGAAACCCTTAACCCCTAAACCCTAAACCCTCTATTATACAGTTATAGTAAGGAACCCCCAAAACCCTATTCACCATTATACTATAGCCTTAATAAGGAACTACCTGGAAAGCCAAGCAGCCCAAAATAACAGACTACNNAAAGTAGCCCATAATTGGCTCAAAGTAGCCCCTACATACAGACTACTGGCTTTCCAGGTAGCACCTGAGCCACTGCTAGCTGCTGATCTTCCACTGGTGCACGTCCGTGCCCGGAGAATCTCGCCCTGACCGGCCCGGTCCCATGGACTACAGGTGCCGGTTTAGGGTTTAGGGTTGAGGGTTTAGGGTTTAGAGTTTAGGGTTTAGGGGTTTAGAGCTTAGGGAGAAACATGTGAACCTACACCGGCTCGTGCCTCGCTGCTGTCGCGGCTTTCACGAAGCTATAAGGCAACACCAGGCGCTACATGCCAGGGCGAATTGGTGCAGACATCGGCAGATTTTGGTGTCGAGTAGCCAGCCAGCCCGAGTTTCCACCGCGATGCGGTGGGCTGGGCCTCACTCAATCTATTCTTGGCCGTTGCGAGAGCGACGAAGTATGTGAGTCCGGTCGTGCGTTACCTGAGTACAGCAATCGTCACTACGTTCCCGCCGTTGAACAGGAAGGTCACATGGGGGGACATCACTCCTTTACAAAGCCCGCTCGGGGGGAAACATCCCAACTGCATTCGACATAGGTTGCATGCTACTGGACCAATGTACACCGCTCCGGCTGCTCCAACCCCGAAGCCCCAAGCCGCCATAAAACCGCAAAAGCTGCAAGGCCGGCCCAAAACCAACCTAGTTAGGCCATTGCCTCAGTCCCATCAACCCTAAACTCCCAAAGCACCGTTAGACCCCACCCCCCTTTATGCTAGCCCAAACTCACAAAACCTCAAATTCTAGTGCCTGAACTCATGTAGCCCGTAAACCCAAAAGCCTCGAACCTCGAATGTAGGGCTGAATAGTTTGTAATGCTTTTCCTGGTTAGGGTTGTCTTGCTAATCATAAGGTTACTAGGTTACTAGGGTATACCATAGATATAATGTGACCCGAACCCCTTTTCAAATTATTCAGGACCCTATACAGCACTGTACGAACAACACAAATCTTATCGAGACAAATCTATAAGAAAGCCTGTAAGACCCTTCAACAGTTCAACCCTAAACCCTGTTTCCAAAAAGCAACCTAAACTTTAAATCCTAAACCCTACAAAAAACACTTTAAACCCATCTACATCTTAAACCTTGCAAGAATCCAAGAAGCACGCCCGAAGACAAAAAACATAAACCCCCCAAGCCCCTAAACCCAAAACCCAAAGCCACTCCTTTAGCCCAAAACCATAAACCCTAAACCCTAAGACCTAAACCCCAAAACCCAAACCCTCAACCCTAAGCCCAAAACCCTAAAACCCTAAACCCTAAAGCCCTAAACCCTAAAACCCTAAACCCTAAAGCCCTAAACTCAAACTCCTAAACCCTAAACCCTGAAACCTCAAAGTTTCTTTGCCTTTGCAGGCCAACTGCAGACCGGAATCCTGTTTCAGGGCTGTGCGACGCCGAAAGCTTAATCCCGGCAGCCTAAACCCATATAGGGGCCTAACTACCTATCAGTACTATTTTTTTGGGACCCTATTCTAATTATTCAGGCCCCTGTATTCATCTTCACATCCCCACACACCTGCCAATTCCATCTGAGAACAAGATGTCGCAGCTCGATTTCAACACGGGGTCAATACAATTCACGGACAATGACATCCACGCCCAGATCGCCGGGCGCCCAGAGATATGCAAAAAACAGACTTTCCCACGAAGCCATACCCTAGGGCTTGAGTTTTCCTCATCGTAGGTTACCAACCATACATCATATACCACAATAACCCAGTACTTGGGGGCCCGGAGCCCCTGCGATTTGACCCGGGGTCGTATCCCTCGAATTCGAACCTCCGGCAGCCAAGCCGCAAAGACCCATCTATCTACCTATGTGACCCACCTATCTATCTAAGTAACTATCTATCTGGCCATCTATCTATGTAGCTTTATGTTGCCTATCGTCTGTCTGTGTTGTTGTCCATCTGTTCGTCTATTTCATCTATCTATCTGTCATTATCTATCCATCCATCGGTCGATCTATCTATCTATCTAGATATCTGTCTACCGATCTGTATATCTATCTGTACATATATCCATGCATCTATCTATCTATCTATCTATCTAGCTATCTATCACTATCTATCCGTCTATCTTTGTACTTGTGAATAGTCTTATACAGTGTCTCTCTCTCTCTCTCTCTTTATTATTAGTATCATAATTATTATCATTATTATTATTACTATTATTAATATATTTGTGCGTTCGATTCTAGTGTATATATATATCATACATTTATATATGCAAGTGATGGTGGTTTACGATTGTTTTTGTATCGGGCATACTTCGCTGTACATGCAATCGTGTACATCGCCTTGTTGTGGTTGTGGTTGTGGTTGTGGTTGTGGTTGTTGTTGTTGTTGTTGTTGTTATTATTTGTTGTTGCTGTTGTTGTTGTTGTTGATGTCGTTGTTGTTGTTGTTATTGCTCTTCTTCTTGTTCTTGTTCTTGTTCTTGCTGTTGCTGTTGCTGTTGCTGTTGCTGTTGCTGTTGCTGTTGCTGTTGCTGTTGCTGTTGCTGTTGCTGTTGCTGCTGCTCTTGCTCTTGCTCTTGCTCTTGCTCTTGCTCTTGCTCTTGCTCTTGCTGGTGCTGGTGCTGGTGCTGGCGCTGGTGCTGCTGCTGCTGCTGCTGCTGCTGTTGCTGTTGCTGTTTGTTGTTGCTGTTTGTTTTTCTTGTTGTTGTTCCTGTTGCTGTTGTTGTTGGTGGCGTTGGCGGTGATGGAGGGCTTTGCTATATTTTTATTCTGGAAGTCGTGCTCGGCATTGAGTCCCCGGCCCGACGTCAGTGGTTGGCTTACAGGGAGTGTCAGTGTCTACCTTGTGTGTGTGTGTGTTTTTAGTCGGGTATCCGTTATAAGAAATGTAGTTGCCCTACGAAGCAGAGTCATCACAGGGCAGGGTTCGAATTTCTAGGTATTACCCAAACCCGAAGGCTTACATCTCTCGCCTGATCCTCTGTCGATGCGGAAACGGGATTAGGGTTTTTATGGTTCAGGCTTTCGGGTTTAGGATTCGACATTCAGATTTTCCACGGCCGAATACTCAGCACAATCTGGCCATGGAGGCAGTGGCACCACGCCTTCTATGAAGCACTTCGTTGAGGTTTTCGGCTCATACGCACCCAAATAGTAGAATTGTGGCTCCTCTACTAGAGTAAATCTCTAAATAGGGGCGTGCTAGCTGCTAGGTCCCAAAATTGTACGGCACTCTTTTGACAGGGACCCTAACTTAGAGAAATACCCACTAGCAAGCATGAGTATGCTTTGTCTAAGTCACGTAGCCCGTAGCCCTAAACCCAAACCTCCTAAATCAGCAGCCCATGGGTTGACCGATTTGCCCCTGGCATGAAGGTATCATACGGTTTAGGGTTTAGGGTTGGCGTATCCTTAAGCATAGCCCTAACTAAACCCTAGACCCCTAAACGCACATGAACATATCACAGACCCCATGGCTTGCACCCCCTAAGCCCCCAAACATTCCAAAAGGCCCCTAGACGCAAGAACCTGAACCCAAACCTCGCAGTCAACCCTAAACCCTCAACCCCGAAAACCCTTAGCAAGTAAAACCCTTACCCCCAAAACCCAAAACCCTAAACCCTCACCCCCCCCCCCTAAACCCTCAACCCCCTAAACCCTCAACCCTAAACCCCCTAAACCCTCAACCCTAAACCCCCAAAACCCTTAACCCTCTATGGTTTGTGTCTTAGCCATGCTGCGCATCACCTTGCTCTCAGGGGAAGAGTTGATCAGGCGGCAGTGGGTCAAACATGTAAGGAATATACCTTAAATGATAATAGGAACCCTAATAAGATTTAAGGTAAATTCCTTAATTAAGAGGTTTTGGAGTCTCTGGGAATGCTTATAAGGGAAGGCTCCCTTTAAGGGCTTTACGAGTGTAGGGTTTATTGGGGCTTGGGGTTATTGGGGTTTGTGGTGTAAGGTTTAGGGAGTTTAGGGTTTAGGATTGATACGCATACTGTAGGGGTTGAGGGTTCAGGGCCTCAAGTTTAGGGTTGACGGTTTAGGTTGACCAGGCTTCCCCTCACGAAGCTGAGCGATGTGAAGGCATTGAAGCGGCGATTGCATCAGCATCACGGCCTACCTCCACGCTTCAGGCAAAGGCTTTTCAACAACGGTGAGATCTTGGATGATGCCTTCCAGCTGGATTCCGCCATGGATCTGCAGGTCTTGATAGTTTCGTTCTGCGATGCGTCTCAGGACCAGCGGCGAGAGCTGTGCGCAGCAGCGATGGATGGCCGATTGGCCGAGGCAGGCGGTTGGCTGACAAGCGTTCTATCTTCAGACTCCTGCATGTTTTTGCTTCAGTTAACATTATTTCACATTTCATGAACCCCAAACCTACCTGCAGAACTACGTTTAAATCTTACGTAGTAGGGGGGCCCGGGATATGTTGGAACTGACATGAAAGGTTGAAGCACACCTGCAGCTGCCTATGGATCCAGATTGTAGAGATGATGAGTCGAGGCTTACGCCACTGATACGCGCGTCCGGGGACGGCCACGTTGACGTGGCAGAGTCTCTGCTGGAGGCCGGTGCTCAGGTGGATATGATAGGCCTCAATGAAGCTACGGCGCTGATGGCGGCTTCGTGTGGGGGTCACACTGCAATGGTGGAATTGCTCTTGAACGCCGGCGCAGACAAGAACTTGTACGACGGTGAAGACTGGACGGCGCTAATGTTTGCGTCGTTCGAGGGTCATGCTCCTAAGTTTTCTTCTGGAACTTCGTTCAACTTACCTTAGCCATGCCATGCATAGTGACCCTAAACCCCTAAACCCTAAACCTCCGTTGCTGGTTTTATGGCGTTTCAGCAAGAACCCAGGCTCAAGTAGTGAGGATGCTCCTAGACGCCGGAGCTCGGAGGGATCTCTGCAACTTTGAAAACGACACAGCTTTGGATTTGGCATTTCGCCATGCTGAAGTCCGGCTTTTGTTGCAGACCAGTGACCAAGGAGATGGGGCATAAGGCTTGGAGGTTTAGGGTTTAGGGGTTTAGGGGTTTAGGGTTTAGGGTTTAGGGGTTTAGGATTTAGGCTGTAGTCTGAGCCCAGGAGCAATTACCTGCGGCAAGGGCTGCAGAGTGCAGAGGATGGGAGAGGAAAATTCTGAAAAGCAAGCTTGCAGAAATCTTAGAAATCTTGGATCATCTTACGAAACTCCAGGCCGTGTGCATGAGGCTTGCTTGACTGAGGCAAAGTCAGAGTAAGCATGGTTCAGACTCAGCTCAGACTCTAGGGTTCAGGGGTCAGAGTCCAAAAAATATCCAAGATGCACTGCTCGTTCTGAGGTGTGCCGACTTTCGGTCGCAGGACTCACAATATTTACTAATATTTACTATACTGCATCTAAACCCTAAGCCCTTAGTACATAGCTGGGCAAGTGAGCCTGCATGGTCTGGCTTTGGGGCAGGCCTGGAGTGCCGGTATATCATTCGGGGGGGCCTTAGTAGCTGATGTAGGGTTTGGGTGTACATGGTTCTTGACGGATTCCTTTGAGGGGTACTATGAGGGCCTAGCAAAGTATAGGGGCTTGAATGACTAGAATAGGGTTTGGGAGGGTATATTACTATACACCATAAGTATAACAGGGAACCCTAATGAATGATCGTGGTAGTTCTGCAGGCCCGTAAAACACCTCTGGCTGTTCCCGTCCGTGTGTTCCATGTCTGCTATTCGGGTTCATACTATAGGGGTCGGTTTAGGGTTTAGGGATCATCTCCTGATTATGTCCTCTTACTTCCCGTCCTGTGGAAAAACCCTCATGCCCTATTCTATTGATTAAGGCCCGCATACTGTTTCAGAGTAGGGCTGGGTAAGGTCTATACAACAATATTCAGAAGGGGCGTTCTTGGAGTGTGAGGTAGGGCTTCCTGGTTCCATTGCACCCGGTGGCCACACCGCAAGAAGCCTCTGCAACCCCTCCTCCCTGCACCCCTCCTCCCTGAACTAGACTCCCTCCGCCCAATACCATGCTCTGCACGGAAAAGCCGTACACCCCCTTTGGAAAATCGTCCCTACAAGCTCTAAGGCCATCACCAAGGAGCTGTTCCTTCTGGTCATCCAGGAGCTCTGAAACGAAGTTTGGGGTTTAGGGGCTTAGGCATTGGTTGAAAGAGAAGGGCTTTATGATTTACCTTGGCTTCGGAGTTTTGGGTTTAAGTAGTGGGTTTGGCCGGGTTTATGGGGTTCCTGATGTGGCATTCGCTGGCCACAACAAGTGTAGCTACCTGAACCATCGCCTGAGTAGTCGCCATTCGATACACGAACTCAGGACAGCTAGTAAGGGCATTATCCATACAGGTACAGGTACCTTGATTGGTGATCATAAACTTCTCACGCTTGAATCGCACTAGATCCTTCCAGGCCCATAGGCTGCTGCCCCTAAACCCTAGACCCTAAACCCTAAATTCCCTAAACCCTAAACCCCAAATGCCTAAATTAGAATTTTTCGACTCCTAGCTCCCGGCAAAGCAACGAGAAGTCCAAGGATTACCTGGCTACCCTAAAGCCTACATGTGTGGTTTAGGGTTTAGGGGAGTTGTATTCAGAAACCATAACAAGGAACCCCAACAAGGTAGGTTTTCCGCTGGAGGTAAGGGCAACCGAAGAGTTGTCTTCGAAAGCTCGAAACCCTAAACAGGAAACGCCCTCAGCCCCAAAACACTCAATCTCCGCCCTGCACCCCTGCGGTAAGCCCCTGAAGACCTGCACCACAAACGTACTGAACCCCCGAAAGCCTGAAACACACAAGCCCTAAACCCTTATAGCCCTAAATTGGACCGAAGGAGAGCTGGACGAACAGACGTAGCCGTTTCACAAAGCTGAAGGTTTAGCTTACCCTTGTGAGAAGCATTGGGCTGTTCATGGCGTTTGGTGTTTAAGGGTTTGGGGAGTAGTAAGAGGCTGTACTTGTAGTTGTCTCAGCTATCAGGGAAGGACCTGCGATCTTGAATTTTGGGAGGTGAGGCGATAAACCTGGGTTCAGGTACATCCTCCATCCTACACCCTATATCCTGAACCCTAGACCCGAAACTCGGCCGAAGAAAATTGGAGGATGCATTTGTTCACTGTGTTTTTTGTTGGTTTGCTCCCTTTCTTTTTCCCTTGTCCGTTTGGTCCCGTGGTTCTCTGGTCCCGTGTTCCACTGATCCCCTGGTCTTCTCGGTCCGTGGTCCTCTGGTCTTCTGGTCTCCGGTTTAGGGTTTAGGGTTTGGGGTTTAGGGTTTTGGGTTTTGTGTTTCGGGTTTAGGGCTTAGGGTTTAGGGTTTACTGGTCCCATGATCTTCTTGGTCCCCTGGGCTTATGGTCTCCTGGCCCCGCCCCTGTCTTCTGGTTCCCTGGTCTGCTGGTCCATCTGCTCCGTTCAGTTCTTCCTGCCGGTTGGTCCCCTGCTTTGGCCCCTTCTCTGTCTGACCCTCTCTATCTACGTGTCTACCTATCTATCTATCTACTTATCTTTCTTTCTATCTGTCTGTCAATCTGTCTATCTGAAGGTAGATCTATCTATATCTCGGAATCGCCAAATTTGAGGGGGCGTGTTTAAGAACTATATGGTGAACCGAGGTCGCCAAATGAGGGGGAGTGTTTAGGATATATGACGGACAGAACTCGCCACATGAGTCCATGATGAACCGAGATCGCCACATGAGGGGGCAGATATGTGATGAACCGGAATCTCCAAATGAAGGGGAGTGCTTAAGATATATGATGAACCGGAATCGCCAAAGGAGGGGGGGGCATGTTTAAGGTCTACGTTGGACCTAAATGAGAGGGTGTATTTAAGATCTATGATGAACCGAGGTCGCCAAATGGGAGGGGGGGTGGGTATGTTTAAGACAGATGATAAATAGGAATCGCCAAATGCGGGGCGCGCTTATGATGAAGCGAGACCGCCAATTGAGGAGGCGTGTCTAAGATAGAGATCGCCGCAAGACGGGGCGTGTTTAAGATCTATGCCGGAGCGGCATCGCCAAATGAGGGCGCGTGTTTAAGATCTATGATTAACCAACATCTCCAAATGAGGGGCGTGTTGTACCGCAAAGCCCTACTCCATGTTCAGGCCCCCAAAGCCTTAAATTCCATGTAGATATCTCGAAAGGAACCTTTTAAAGCAAGTTACTGCAAGAACATGGCGGCCAATCCGAGCCTCCCCCTTTCTCTCCTTTTTGTAGTTGTCGTCGACGCCGGTCGGTTGCCCATGGGGCAGGCCAACGCATTCACCTGTTAAGAGCTTATAAATGTCCGTAAGCTCTCAAGCCCCAAACACCCAACCACCCCAACAAAAACTAAGCGCCAACCCCCATTTGAACCCTAAACCTTCTGAGCCCTAAAATGTAGACCTTAAGCCCATAAAACCTCAGCAGGACCGACATGTGCAGAGCCTCATGGACGACCTCGACCTACCACCGGACCGCGCCAACCTCTTTGAGGCTCCAGCCATGGGTCTTCTTAGCTCCTTTTTAAGGGAACTAGATGGGTTACCTTTAAGGGTTTCTATAATTCATGGGTCTTCTTAGCTCCTTTAAGGGGTAGTGTATGGGTTACTGTAAGGGTTCCTATAATTCTGTAACACCTAATAAGAAGGGCTACTAAGACGAGAAGAGCTACTATAAGGGTTAAGAGCCGATGTTTGGTATAAGGTTAAGGTGTGTAGGGTAAAGGGGAAAAGGGTTCAAGAGGTTCAGGCTAACCCTAAAGTCGAATCATCAAGTTCAACCCGGAAACCTTGAAGCCTGAATCTCAGCCCCAAGCCCTAACTGGCAGTCAGAGTAACTGAACGCCGCGGGGTTCAGAGCTTGGGGGTTTTGTAATCAGTGTTTTCAGGCTTTTCAGCTTAGTGCTTTATAGGGCCTTAAGGTCGAGGACTTCGGGTTGAGAGTCTTGACTGAATCTTTTATGCCGTCCGTAGTGAAATAAACACCCTAAACCCTAAACCCTTACTTGAGAAGCATGTTTGAAGTAATTTTGCACCTTAGCTCGGATTTGGGGGCTCGAAGGGTTGCAGTTGGTGGGCTTAGGTTTCAATTCGGCACGTAAAGTTAAAGGGTGTATTGGTAGATCAGTGTCTCGGTACGTTATAGGGTCTATATGCGAGTCGGACGACTATGGCATGACTCCAAATACGAAATTCGAGTTTAAGGGTTTAGGGCCAGCTTGAGGCATGCATGTCAGCTAGTAGCAGCCGCAAGCCCGCTTGGGAAGATATCTGCGTAGCAAGAAGTACATATACCCGAGGTTCAGTTCGATTGTCAGTCGGATGTCCGGCTGGCCTTCATTCACTTTAAGGAGCAGTTGCAAGCGTTGCGTTGACGCGTTGTCCGATTGTGTCTTAGTAGTGTTGGCTTCCGGCGGACGTCCGAACAGGCCATCGATGCCGACGGCAGTGGCACCCTGCATGTGACCGAACTTGTTCAGGCGGGCCTGTGCTGACGAATGTTGAAGGATCGGGGTTCTGTCATCGCATGTCACCTACCATGGCCGTGACGCTCAATGCTCCCAATCTCCCCAAACGGCTGTGATTTGGAGCAACTTCCCAGAAAGAGTCCCGGGCGAGTGAGTTAGTGACGTCTGGTGCTCGCGCCCGCGCTTGAATTTTAATCCCTTTAGAAGGTTCATGCTTTCCGCCTGTATCGCAGTAGACCCCAAAGCGATTATTGCCAGAAGGGTTCATCAAATGGTAGTGGGCATGCAGCTAGAAGACGACACATGTACCTTTGGTTGTTGCTTGCCTACTAGATTTTGTG